GTTCTACAAGCAGATGCAGGAGATTTTTGTTTACTGTTCGGTCGCAAAAAATATATATAAATCTGCGGTGCCTGGGGACTAGATCCACATGCATGGAGTGCACTTGATTTGCTTTGACACACAACAGCAGTTGTTATCTGTGTAACTTTACAATGAATATATTGGAACATACAATAACGGACTTTCACATTGCATCATTTACAACATGAACCCTATACATTACATACAGCATTACTTTTGCCTGGGAGAATCCATGAATTAGACCATTTCTAGTTGTTGTAAGTTACATTACACCTGTACAGTAATTACACTTTGCCTATAGTTTATAGAGCCTTGGTACATTTATTGTAGGACTTACCTATTGACATTAAGAATACAAAGAGAGGGACGTTTAAGCGGTTTGATAATTCATGGTCTGGTATGATCGTGAATAATTATACATTAACCACTCGTTCATGTAATTTAGGGGTATACCTGAAAGTCTGAATTTAGAGACAGCACATACCTGTAAAATTAGCTACCGTATTTGACCTAATATCTGCCATATCAATTATTATTTATTAAAAGCACCCCTTTTTCTTTTTCTAGTCAGTTTCACGATAGTTTATTGACTCATGATCTTAAAAAAAGTGTCTGTTATGACTTTTTAGGTGAGAGTTTTGGGAGACTTGCAGTCATCCTCATTTTCCTGTAACCTTCATTACGTTTGGCACTTATGGTAGCTAGTTCAATATCCTGAACATGTATATATATTTATCCAGCGACCTAGTACTGTAGTTACATAGTGTACCCAGAAATAGACAAAGCTAGTGAAAATATATAGCCACGACTTTAGACATATTTTAATAGTTGTTGTTATTACTGTAAGACTGTATTTTGAAATTCAATCTAAGTTAGATTGTATTAAGTTTTATTAAACCAACTTTGTAATTTGAATAAAATGGAGATGATGATTTGTGAAATTTTAGTTACTGTATTATCTGTCAGTAATAGAATTTGACGTGTCCCATTTATACAACACATGTAGTAGCTATACTACGCTCATGCAATAAGAAACACTTCATTTCATCATACAGCAGTGCTCCATATTAAATATCCAAATTTCATCAGACTAATCAATGTTTCAATATGTTACCTCAATTTCCTCAGGCAATATGTCGCAGCTTCTATATCACGTATACCAAATGATTTCATCAGAACACGGGTACTAGCCTCGTCTGTCAATACACCTATTATATAATCACAGGAACTAGCCTCGTCTGTCAATCCACCTATTATATAATCACAGTTACTAGCCTCGTCTGTCAAAACACCTATAATATAATCACAGGTGCTAGCCTCGTCTGTCAATACGCCTATAATATAATCACAGGAACTAGCCTCGTCTGTCAATACCCCTATGATATAAACACAGGTACTAGCCTCGTCCGTCAATACACCTATTATATAATCACAGTTACTAGCCTCGTCTGTCAAAACACCTATAATATAATCACAGGAACTAGCCTCGTCTGTCAATACCCCTATAATATAATCACAGGTACTCGCCTCGTCTGTCAATACACTTATTATATAATCACAGGTACTAGCCTCGTCTGTCAGTACACCTATAATATAATCACAGGTGCTAGCCTCGTCTGTCAATACGCCTATAATATAATCACAGGTGCTAGCCTCGTCTGTCAATACGCCTATAATATAATCACAGGTTCTAGCCTCGTCTGTCAATACTCCTATAATATAATCACAGGTGCTAGCCTCGTCTGTCAATACACCTATAATATAATCTATATTATCATTATAATTATATTATAGGTGTATTGACAGACGAGGCTAGTACTTGTGATCAGAATAGTATCTCGGAACAAGTTCTGTCTAAGGAAAATTGCCAAAGGTCAACCAGATACAGTAAATGTCAGCATTACTTACCATAGATTTTGGTTCATTTTTCAGGTCTAACACACTCTATATAACCTACCAATCCATATGCAGAAATACCAACCTTTATTATTCTACAGGCCTTCCATGGATTTGTCAAGTCAAAAGTGGAAATACCTTTTAAACACAATTATCTCAAATTTTCTTGACATGTGAACGTGTATAGTCTACCAAAATAAGTTTAAAAAATTACTTAACTGCAATGTACTTAAAAGGGTGTCAATCCAGATGTGCATATTTATTTGTACAGGTTGTTAAAACTATCAACCAAACATGCTTTCTGTATTCTTTCTGAATTATGGTTTCAATGTTCCGAAACACTGAATTCCTAGCCTAGCTATCTAGATCAGATTAGGTATTCAACTACGTACATGGGGCGACCTAAATTTGAATAAAACACCTTTACAAAATTAATATATCTGTATAGTTTCTAAAGGACTTGTAGCTAATCTTTAAAATAAAACTTGAGTACATTTATCACACTGCTATACATGTATGATCAGTTACAAACCAAAAGGATCGAGTTAGTAAGAGTCGTGACTCATCAGAATATATAGTGTTTACGTGGGAGTTATATTCCTTCCACACAATAATCTATTCTATAGATCAAGACATAATGCGTTTAGGGATTTCATTAAGGGATGTTCTATTATACAAATGTATGTACTCAAGAAAGTATTGTACAGAATATATATAGTATGTGACATGCTCAATAAAACATCCTCAATCTGCTTAAAACACATCTTAAAGGTGTTTTTACCAATTTTCTGGTTTTATTGAAAGATGATAAGATATTGACATGTCCTAATGTAAGGTTCGTGAGGTACACATAAAACCTCCAACACACTTACTACAGATTAACAGATATATATTATATGAGTTCAACAGATTTCTTTTAAAACGGGGGAATATGTACGTCAACTTACAATGGTTTAGACATGTTTGAAAGTTGACGATATAGTGACTGTAAGTAAACTGACATGTGTACAACTGTATACATGTGTAAATAAAAATACTTGGACTGATAAAGAAAGCATGAGGAAATGTCAATGAGAATTATCTATTACTGACGTCACTTCATAACATGGGTGGGTTTACTTTGACCAATCAGAGTGTTCCACGCTTTACACACCCCAATTCAACCCGGAATATACTTGTGTGACGTGGAGAAAATTCTATTGAAGACACATGTTACACGGCTACAAGTTTTTCTATTGTACTGGAAGTACACATGTTGACATATTGATTTGATAGTGCTTGCTGTCCCTTAATGTTCGTTGAACAAATATCATAGATGAACTTGAAGCTATTGATCCAAAGCCTCAAAGCTTAGATATTTGTCTGTCTTTGTATTCGGCATATGATTTTCATTGACTGGGCATTCCAACTGACCACTGAGCTTTGTTCATTCTATCACCGTGTGATCATGGCATTCCAACGTGTGGTTTGTCCACTGATGCAGAAATCAAGACCGATATTAACAACATGAAAATATCATAATATGTATATACCTTGTTGATAATTTTTTAATTTTGAATCCCCTCAACACAAATCGATTTTACCTGTAGTTAACTCACTCACCCCTACATGTCTAAACTGGATCTGGCCACTCATTGATTTGGTAAGGTTCAAATGTGACTTTAAGGGGTGAATGATAAATATGAAAAGACAATAAACTCAAGCATAATTATACTTTACAATAAACAAATAGACATGTTTTGAAGATGTGCCGTCTTCTGTATTTCACAGGCAATTGTGAGTTATTATCCAAACCTAAAAACAGTTTGATTAAGTTTTTCAGAAATGTTTTTCGCCTTTGGTAAAGGTTTGGCTGCTACAGGAATTATCAGCACATGAGATCATACTCGTGAAAAGTCCAGAAAAAAACATTTCCTGTTGTACCTGAAGTTTCAATTTTATGGGAGCTTTATTTCATTGAATGTGTTAATTTGCAAAATATACAAAAACTAATTCACATAATTTTAATTTTCTTCAGCAAATAAACAGTTTAAGCAAATATATTTTGAAAATATTTTCTTACGTTGAAATGACACAAACAACCTATTTTAAAAGAAGAATGAAAAGGACAGGTAAAAAGTTCAGACTTTCAAAGCAAACATTAAACTCGGGCTGATCATGTCTCAGATAGTGGCTAAGACTGGATTGTCAACCTGTCAGATGTTCATGTGAAAAAGAGTTTTAAAATTGGAGAACCACAGCAGCGAAACAAGATGACTAAAAAACGATTTTATTATTCTGAACACAAAAACTTTCCCCAATGATAAATGTGATCTGAAGATTGGAGGATTTACCTAGATTCTCATTTCTCAGTGTGTCATTCAGATGAAGGGAGATTTGATCAATATGCCTTTCCTTAATGACAAAAATATCGGGGCATGTAAAGGGTAATGCTATTTATAGAATAAAAAAGTGAAGGTAGATAGAGTCACAAACATTAAGTTCAGACTAAATTCAATAACACGTACTTAAATGTCTTTTAAAAACAATTTGTTAAGAATCGTGACAATCTAGCTATTTGAGATAATTGTATTACTGTAAGTTCTCTAATGAATTCTTTATAAATATTTTATTGGTTACAATTGATCTAGACTGAGGCATTATGGGGCCTTCTAAGGGGAGAATAGATTTTTTCTATAATTTCCATATTAAATTGGCACTCCAGAGCTTCTTTTGTGTGTGAAAAATACAAGTTTACTGTCCTCCTCCTCCCCTCCTCCTCCTCCTCCTCCTCCTCCCCTCCTCCTCCTCTTCCTCTCATACATTTCATAGAAAATTAACTTAGAAATAATATATATGTGTAAATGGTATATCAATACATGTATATCGCTGTGTCGATACAAATCTGGCATCTTGTACCTTGCTATGTATGTCAATCACTGGTATCGTCATTTCCTCAATTTGAATTTTGGAACTGTTACTGCATGTACATAAGTATATGTCTATGTAGAACTATCAGAAAGAGAATGATGTAGAAAACAACACAGCTATAAATCTATTGATAGACCTTATATTGACATTTTTTTCTTTCTTTTTTTTTACAGCAAGAACCAAAGATGACCCCGTGTCTACTCATGAGTATATTTTTCACTGTATTTGGAAACAGTTTTTTATATGGCTACAACATAGGAGATGTCAACAATCCTGCACCAGTAAGTATTGCCTACTCTTTTTGATCAGTAGGTTGTCTTGGTTACCAAGTTAATAGTCTTGAAATCTTACAAGTTAGTCTTGGTAACCAGTGGGTATTCTTGAAATCTTCAAAGTTAGTCTTGGTAACTAGTGGATAGTCTTTAAATCTAGTAAGTTAGTCTTGGTAACCGGTTGGTAGTCTTGAAATCTAGTAAATTTAGTCTTGGTAACCAGAGGGTAGTCTTGAAATCTAGTATGTTGGTCTTGGTAACCAGAGGATAGTCTTGCAATTTAGAAAGTTAGTCTTGGTAACCAGTGGGTAGTCTTGAAATCTAGTAAGTTAGTCTTGGTAATTATAACCAGTGGATAGTCTTGAAATCTAGTTAGTTAGTCTTGGTAACCATTAGTACTTCAAGAATACCTTGAATGAGTTTAAGGATGTCAAAAGGAAGGTCACCCCGTCAACACTACTCCAGAAACTTTATTTGTTAAAATATTTTGAGTCAGACATTATTCAAAAGTTTTAGAATAATTCAAATGGGTTTGTATTTCAGGAATCAAAAGTTTAGCTCACAATTACTGTTTATGTGATTTTGGCAAAAAATGACACTCATTTACTAGATAGCTGGGGATTTTGTACAGATATTTCCTAGTAAAATCAAATCTTGTATTTTAACGATTGTACAAGGCTCTTATATGATTTATAGTATTTTGCAGATTATACCTAATTTTTACATCAATTACTTTATTTTTCAGGTTATACGAGAGTTTTACGCTAGGATTCTATTAGTAAGAAAAGGCTACTTTCCTCTATCGGAGCTCTCTCCCAATGAATCAGCAGTATTTTTAGCCAACCTTGCCACAGGACCAAGCTATAGTAATAGTACCGCTGGCAGCTCTATGCCATCCCTTGCCAATATGTCATTTGAACAAATTGAAATTGGTATCATTAAGAAAATGGTGGAAAACGAGCCTGTCATAGAAATTCTCTGGTCAGTAACTGTGGCTATCTTTGTTCTGTTCGGTATGATTGGAGCGTTTGTGTCGGGAAGTGTGGCAGATCACTTTGGAAGGTAAGAATGACATATCATTGTCATAAAAGTTCAGCGTGGCGGTAATATGAAATGGCCCCGGATCAATATGGTCACTTATTTGCTGACATTTTTATCATTCAATCATACATTTTGTGAAGATATAAGACAGTAATTGTTCTCGACAATCCTGCGTTCACTGCAACAATAATGCTTCATCATTTCATTGTTTTTGTTTTACCGGAATTTCTACAGCATGCCTTTATAAAATTAAATATCTGTAAACAGTGCTTAAGTGTAAAGGCCTTTGAGAAATAGTCTTCAGGTCAGGGTTTGTGGTATAAAAAACATACAGAATTATCATCTTAAAGTTCAACAAAATAAATGTTATCAATGCGTTTGTGTTCACCGTTCTTTGTCATTGATTAATAAGGTCTATTTAACCATCAATCTTAAAAGTAAAATAACAGGTTTCTGAGTATTGAAATCTTTGTGTATTTCACTGTAGTGGCATGTAACTGAAAATGTCTTTTTTATTGTGTTACAGGAAGAAGGGTATGTTGATGATAACCGTTTTGATGTTCCTGGCCGCTCTATTTGGAGGGATCCCCATTGTCACTGGGTCCTTTGAGATGCTTATTGTACACAGAGCTCTAGTAGGACTCCACTGTGGTAAGAAAACACCTAACATGGTTTAGGTATAAAAACTGAAGGTTTTTTTATCATCTGCATAAAGTCGTCACAGTGACTGTTTTTCATGATTAATACCAACGCACTGTTAATTGGTTATGAGTATTTAAATTACATTTGCAAATTGAAAATTATGATGTTAAAATGTCAACTGAACAGAGTGCAGGACATTTATTATTTAGTCTCGGGTCTGAGGGTGACAGAATTGAGTATGTACACAGAAGCTCACCATGTAACTTGATGCTTGAAATTTATTCCATCATCATGTGATTCACATGCAGAATCTTGACCCCAGTTGCTTGACCTCGTCCTTATTGAAGCAGTCTTTTAGACACTTTTTTATCAAAAGAGTGTAACAAGCTTCAGAGCCATGTCATCTGTAGCAGCTATTAGGGCAGGTTTTAACAACCATTGATGTTGTAATGACACTGCCAAAATCAGTTCTTATATAATTAATTATCCCTTTTGGTTTTGCAAAATTAACAAATGTATGGAACGTTGGTCAGTGAATAAAATAGCAAGTTAGTAGTAAAGTTTTTTTCTCCAATTCACTCAATCTAAAAGTTCTGTCATAATCAGCATTACCAAAAATAGTACAGTATATAGATTTGACCCCAGTGTTTGAATATTAAACAATAAAAGTGAAATGTTCAGACATTTGGCGAAGGGAAAATGGAGAATACCAGTAGAAACAGATTAAAGATACCTTAATTGTTGTAAGGACATAAAACCCTAAACAAACACAAAAACAGTAGTGTAGTAAATTAACATCATATCATTATATGTGTGCCTTTATATGTATTACTATCAAACCTGCCGAGATTCTAGGACAAATATTCATTAAGTAAGTTGAACATTTCTCAGGTATAAACGTCAGCTTGGCCGCTATGTACCTGGCCGAGATCTCCCCCCGAAGTATTCGTGGAGCAGTAGGTACCTGCCACCAGCTTTTTATCACCGTCGGTATCCTGTGGAGCAACCTCATGGGAGTATCCAAACTCTGTGGTAGGTAGGCTGTTGTCAGGGAGTATCTAAACTCTGTGTTACGTGGGCTGTTGTCAGGGAGTATCTAAACTCCGTGGTACGTGGGCTGTTGTCAGGGAGTATCTTAACTCTGTTGTCAGGGAGTATCTAAACTCTGTGGTACCTGGGCTGTTGTCAGGGAGTATCTAAACTCTGCGGTACGTGGGCTGTTGTCAGGGAGTATCTAAACACTGTGGTATGTAGGCTGTTGCCAGGGAGTATCTAAACTCTGTGGTACGTGGGTTGTTGTCAGGGAGTATCTAAACTCTGTGGTACATGGGCTGTTGTCAGGGAGTATCTTAACTCTGTTGTCAGGGAGTATCTAAACTCTGTGGTACTGTGGCTGTTGTCAGGGAGTATCTAAACTCTGTGTTACGTGGGCTGTTGTCAGGGAGTATCTAAACACTGTGGTATGCAGGCTGTTGTCAAGGATTATCTAAACTCTGTGGTACGTAGGCTGTTGTGAGGGAGTATCTAAACTCTGTGCTCCGTTGGCTGTTGTCAGGGAGTATCTAAACTCTGTGGAACATAGGCTGTTGTCAGGGGGTATCTAAACTCTGTGGTACGTGGGCTGTTGTGAGGGAGTATCTAAACTCTGTGGTACGTGGGCTGTTTTCAGGGAGTATCTAAACTCTGTGGTACGTAGGATGTTGTCAGGGAGTATCTAAACTCTGTGGTATGTAGGGTCAGGGAGTATCTAAACTCTGTGGTACGTGGACTGTTGTCAGGGAGTATCTAAACTCTGTGGTATGTAGGGTCAGGGAGTATCTAAACTCTGTGGTACGTGGTCTGTTGTCAGGGAGTATCTAAACTCTGTGGTACGGGGGCTGTTGTCAGGGAGTATCTAAACTCCGTGGTACGTGGGCTGTTGTCAGGGAGTATCTAAACACTGTGGTATGTAGGCTGTTGTCAAGGATTATCTAACCTCTGTGGTACGTAGGCTGTTGTCAAGGAGTATCTGAACTCTGTGGTACGTGGGCTGTTGTCAGGGAGCATCTAAACTCTGTGGTACGTGGGCTGTTGTCTGGGAGTATCTAAACTCTGTGGTACGTGGGCTGTTGTGAGGGAGTATCTAAACTCTGTGCTCCGTTGGCTGTTGTCAGGGAGTATCTAAACACTGTGGTATGTAGGCTGTTGTCAGGGATTATCTAAACTCTGTGGTACGTAGGCTGGTGTCAAGGAGTATCTAAACTCTGTGGTACGTGGGCTGTTGCCAGGGAGTATCTAAACTCTGTGGTACGTAGGCTCTTGTCAGGGAGTATCTAAACTCTGTGGTACGCAGGCTGTTGTCAAGGAGTATCTAAACTCTGTGGTTCGTGGGCTGTTGTCAGGGAGTATCTAAACTCCGTGGTACGTGGGCTGTTGTCAGGGAGTATCTTAACTCTGTTGTCAGGGAGTATCTAAACTCTGTGGTAAGTGGGCTGTTGTCAGGGAGTATCTATACTCTGTGGTACGTAGGCTGTTGTCAGGGAGTTTCTAAACTCTGTGGTACGTGGGCTGTTGTCACGGAGTATCTAAACTCTGTGGTACGTAGGCTGTTGTGAGGGAGTATCTAAACTCTGTGCTCCGTTGGCTGTTGTCAGGGAGTATCTAAACTCTGTGTGGCCGCTATGTACCTGGCCGAGATCTCCCCCCGAAGTATTCGTGGAGCAGTAGGGACCTGCCACCAGCTTTTTATCACCGTCGGTATCCTGTGGAGCAACCTCATGGGAGTATCCAAACTCTGTGGTAGGTAGGCTGTTGTCAGGGAGGATCTAAACTCTGTGGTACATAGGCTGTTGTCAGGGAGTATCTAAACTCTGTGCTACGTGGGCTGTTGTCAGGGAGTATCTAAACGCTGTGGTACGTAGGCTGTTGTCAGGGAGTATGTAAACTCTGTGGTACCTGGGCTGTTGTCAGGGAGTATCTAAACTCTGTGGTACGCGGGCTGTTGTCAGGGAGTATCTAAACTCTGTGGTACATGGGCTGTTGTCAGGGAGTATCTAAACTCTGTTGTACGTGGGCTGTTGTCAGGGAGTATCTAAACTCTGTGGTACATAGGCTGTTGTCAGGGAGTATCTAAACTCTGTGGTATGTAGGCTGTTGTCAGGGAGTATCTAAACTCTGTGGTACGTAGGTTGTTGTCAGGGAGTATTTAACTCTGTGGTACATAGGCTGTTGTCAGGGAGTATCTAAACTCTGTGGTACATGGGCTGTTGTCAGGGAGTATCTTAACTCTGTTGTCAGGGAGTATCTAAACTCTGTGGTTCGTAGGCTGTTGTCAGGGAGTATCTAAACTCTGTGGTACTTTGGCTGTTGTCAGGGAGTATCTAAACTCTGTGGTACTTTGGCTGTTATCAGGAATTAACAAATCTATTACAGTGTGTTTTCATGTTTCAAAATTTTGAGGTACTGTATGGGAACATCATATACTGTGAATTCATGTATTTATGTGGGCGATTTATTTTTTGTGGATTTCTTCGATACTTTCATTCAATAAAAATTTGTGAATATGTAACACAACATGATGTAAACAGTGAAACTGCTGAAAAAGCTCAATCATTGACTTGATTTCTGATAGGTACACATACTTACTGGAGATTAACATGAGTACTGTTCTGACAAGTGCTTTACCAGTTAAACATTTGGTATAGGCCTACCTGTTATCATGCTATGAAATGTACCTCTTCATAAGAAATATGTTTGCATTGAAAAACGTTTTAAGAAAACTTTTTCTGTGAATTCTTTTCAACATAAAGTTATGGTATTTTGAAAAAATAAATCTATAACAAACGGTAACATGATAGTGATCGTCCAGTACATTGTTTGTTAGGTACTGCCGAACTATGGCCAATCGTGTTTGTCTTCAATGCGATTCCCGCGGCTATCTGTCTTATCGGACTGCCCTTCTGTCCGGAGAGTCCTCGCTTCATGTTGATCAAGCAGGGAAAAGAGCAAGAAGCCAGAGATGGTGAGTATTTGATTTTTACGATGTCTTCCATCCATATTGTTTTGTCACATGAATAAATGTTGGAGGCTGATTGGTTCACTCAACACCCACTGTGAGTTGATAGTAATCAGACCAGTCCTGGCAGTGTTGTGTAGAACAATTACCACAAGTATGAAGAAATGATGCGTCTACTTAAATTTAGTTCGTTTATGCAGGAAGTCAAACAAAGTCACTATTGTCTTGCCTCGTATGGAGAAACTATTGTCTTGCCCCGTATGGAGAAACTATTGTCCCACCCCGTATGGAGAAACTATTGTCTTGCCCTGTATGGCCATATTGCTCATTTAGCTTTAATCAGTGGTTCTGAAATTACCTAGGTCAAAATATGAAAACTAAACGACTTAAGTGTTCCCAACCAGACATATGTACAATGCAGTAGAAAGGAAAAAAGTACCTTTGAAACACTTTCAAATTTACAACTTCCGGACACACAAGATGAATTACACTAAAACTAGTATTTCATATTATCTGTGCTAGTGTAACAGGTGAAAGAGAAATGCAATGGCCAGACCAAGAATTGAACCAGGACCTTCCAAACTCTAGATGGATGCTCTACCTATAGAGCTATTGAGCTATCTGTTCGCAATGATCGCCCCAGTCCAGTTCCGCTATACTGGAATAAAGTCTAGCTACAAAGTTATCATCAACATTAGGTTCTGATCATCCACAACTCTCTTGTCAAGTAAAATCACTTCCAGAAATATAAAGTAAGCAAGCACCTATAGGAAACATTTTTAAATGCCATCTATTCGCTCCTTTAACTTTAGGATACGTTCTGAGCTCAATTTGACTAGGTGGACCCTGGATTCTCACTAAGAAGAACACTGACTAGTTACTAGTTGCAGCTGTAGCCCTGAGGAAGCTTCAAGGCTACTCTGATGTTTTTAATGTTTGTTTTACACAGCCCTGAGGAAGCTTCGAAGCTAACCTGATGTTTTTAAATGTTTGTTTTACACAGCCCTGTGGAAGCTTCGAGGCTTCTCTGATGTTTTTAAATGTTTGTTTTACATAGCCCCGAGGAAGCTTCGAGGCTACTCTGATGTTTTTAATGTTTGTTTTACGCAGCCCCGAGGAAGCTTCGAGTTTACTCTGATGTTATTAAATGTTTGTTTTAAACAGCCCTGAGGAAGCTTCGAGGCTACTCTGATGTTGAGGAGGAGATTGATGAGATGAAGGTGGAGGCTCGTAAGAGTCAGAGTGTCGAGAGCTTCTCTATCAAAAGACTGCTGACCACACCAGACCTGAGGGTGCCAGTCATTATGGCCTGTGTGCTCCAGATCTCCCAGCAATGGTCAGGTATCAATGCTGTAAGTACAAATATCTACAGTATATGTATTTAACAGAGGTCATTATTATTATACACTTTTTAACAGACACCAGTCTCACACTCTGAGTGTTTTCCAGTGGTTTAGATGTTAAATATTTATATTCGAACTAGTCCCCAGCTGATACACTGCAACCAGCTTTTTAGTTTAGGCATTAACACATCTAATACCAGAATCCCCTGTAACAAAATATCAATACTGTATACAGCCAAAGTTTGGTCACAGTTCAACATTCACCTTTCTGTCTCTCCGTAATGGTGACACTATTTCAGGGAATATTAGTACACAATCTACACTAGATAGTGCGTACATGTGAATGGCAAAATTAACACTAGGTGAACATGGATTTTATCAGCAAACAGTGAATATTTGAAGTTTCACGGTATGCAGTACTAGTAGTGGCATCTAGTTATAGTTTTACGGTTATCATACTTTATTCAGCATCCTATTATGTTCATTTGTTTTTACGATTTTGAAAATTGTCATGAATATCTTATTCATGTTGAAACAAAAACTGCACTGCAGACAACTATTTTACCGATGTCTGATGGTGAACATGGGCCAAATCTAACATTGATGTGTCAGACAAAAAGGATCCCGACTCGAAAAAGCAAGCAATCGGCAAATGTGACATTTCCTTTGCAGAGGTGTTAGATAGAATCTTTCCATATGAGGCCTGTGTAATACTAGATAAGATGTTCTTGCAGTCAACATAAAAATGTGATTGTCTCCCTTGACAGGTAATGTCCTTCTCCAGCTTCATGTACAAGAATGCCGGGGTACCCGCCAACGTGGTGGAGTGGGTAGTATGTGGCACATCCACCATCAACGTGCTCACCACCATTATTGCCGTACCGCTGATGGAGAAGCTGGGGCGACGCCCACTAATGATCTACCCCATGATGGGGATGGCTGTATCTTTCATCATCCTCACCATCTTCCACAATCTCCAGTATGATGATAGCCTTTCAGTAAGTTGTAGGCAGCTCAAAATATTGTGACCAGTTTTTGATATAATTTATTATCTGTCACCGTGAACTCATTACTGTATCAACTTCAATTCTCCATGGATTTTAAAAGAAGCACAGAGTAGTGGTCTATAACGCCTTGAACAACAATACGTTTAAGCAGGTGACCTGAAGTTGATGGTCACTAATTTCATAATAAAAAATAATTGTCAGCTTTATTAATTTCATATTTCAATGGATTGCCATTACACTCTTTGTGTTGATTAACGCCAGCAAGTTTCCAGGTTCTATGTGTTGTCAGACTCACTAGTACAATATGTTTTAATCTTTGTCATGGCCGATCAGACGAAGGCTGCACAGTGACACTTATCATAATGAATTTGTTATCTGCAGTACAGTTTAAACATCAATGTAACAGTTCCATGATATATTTGTAGGTTTAAAACATCAATATTTACATTTGCATGGCATTGTCACTATATAGCCTCTATGAAAGCTGTGTCGTTGATGGGACTTTAATTACCATGCATCACGAGACACAATTCTTAGCGTATTAATACAACACTGACCGGAACTACAATATCTAATATAAATAAACATGACGGCTGCTGAAACATCGCTGGGCATTGTGAGATTTGACGTTGTCATTGTAAATTTATGTGCAAAATAAAATACAAAATAAAAAACAATTTTATTACAACGAAACAAGACCAAGGTCTGCAATATCGTACAAAATGCACATCGGTTGAAATCACCAATGCCGGCAATGGAAACAATTTTAACGCTCATGCAATTTATCAGAAATATCGTCTGTTACACTGCACTGATCAACAGGGGTTTGTTACAAATCTCTGAAATACACATATTCTATAGACCTACTGACACATATGTTACAGACCTTCTGATATGAGTCACAGCACACATAAACATTTCAGACATTTGTAAAGAACCTGTGCTCCGTCGCAAGATCACTCACTTCAAACGCTATCAGTTTCACGTGTCTCGCATCCACGGTTCCTCAGTTTCTGTCGACATGTCAAATAACGAGGCCGTTATATAATCTACCGACTGTTGTCAGGTTCCCATACAATCGACAAATAAATTCACGCCTGGATTCTTCACAAAATGAGCAAAGAGAAAAGTTTGAATTAACTTCCAAAAATAACTCCCTTGTGGAGGGCAAGGTCGGATTTGCGGTGTTCACTGTATTTGTCCATGCGTGAAATTTGTTCCGGGGAAAAATCGAAACAATTTCAAATCAAACTTTCAGCTCAGAGTTCTATTGATAAACTTAAATCACCCTATAGACATATCATGTGCAATTGTATTGATACTGAATTGTGGAATATAATTGAAGTGTTTGTTAAAATTTCAAAGTACTGCTTTGTTTGGCAAACACGCGACAATACGCTGTTCAAACTATTGAACGAAATTGTGTGGACTGTCGATAAGGCGGGCATTTTTAATTCTAAATATAAATTCTAAGTTAAAAAAGAACATAAGAGGCAGAGAAAACGTAAATATAAGTATTGAACTGTTTTTGTATGGTATTTATGATCTATTTGAATGACACAGCTTTGCAAGCAGACAAATCATCATGCGCTAGCACGCATTATGTTGTTTGCTTGTAAGCTGTGTCATTCAAATAGATCATAAATACCATACAAAAACAGTTCAATGCTTAAATGTAACAGTTCTATGTTATATATGTAAGTTTAAACATCAATGTAACAGTTCCATGTTATATTTGTAAGTTTAAACATCAATGTAACTGTGCCATGTTATATTTGTAAGTTTAAACATCAATGTAACTGTGCCATGTTATATTTGTAGGTTTAAACATCAATGTAATTGTGCCACGTTATATTTGTAGGTTTAAACCTCAATGTAACAGTTCCATGTTATATTTGTAGGTTTAAACATCAATGTAACTGTGCTATGTTATATTTGTAGGTTTAAACATCAATGCAACTGGGCTATGTTATATTTGTAGGTTTAAACATCAATGCAACTGGGCTATGTTATATTTGTAGGTTTAAACATCAATGTAACTGTGACATGTTATATTTGTAGGTTTAAACATCAATGTAATTGTGCCACGTTACATTTGTAGGTTTAAACCTCAATGTAACAGTTCCATCTTATATTTGTAGGTTTAAACATCAATGTAACAGTTCCATGTTATATTTGTAAGTTTAAACATCAATGTAACAGTTCCATGTTATATTTGTAAGGTTAAACATCAATGTAACTGTGCCATGTTATATTTGTAGGTTTAAACATCAATAGTTTAAACATCAATGTAACTGTGCCATGTTATATTTGTAGGTTTAAACATCAATGTAACTGTGTCATGTTATATTTGTAGGTTTAAACATCAATGTAACTGTGACATGTTATATTTGTAGGTTTAAACATCAATGTAACTGTGCTATGTTATATTTGTAGCTTTAAACATCAATGTAACTGTGCTATGTTATATTTGTAGGTTTAAACATCAATGCAACTGTGCTATGTTATATTTGTAGGTTTAAACATCAATGTAACGGTTCCATGTTATATTTGTAGGTTTAAACATCAATGTAATTGTGCCATGTTATTTTTGTAGGTTTAAACATTAATGTGACTGTGCCATGTTATTTTTGTAGGAGAACCATCAAACATTCGCCTATGTGGGGATCGCTGCCATGCACACCTATGTCATAGGTTTTGCTCTTGGTTTGGGTAAGTGTTATAGTTCAACAATACATCAAACTAGTGGTACAATGGCCTGGGGTAATATTGACCTCTTCATCAGAAGGATAATCATAGCCTCAATACCCATAGAATAATGGCAATCTTGATATCAATGGAATAGCAGTGACCTTGATAGCAATGGAATAGCAGTGACCTTGATATCAATGGTATAGCGATGACCTTGATAGCAATTGAATAGCGGTAGCCTGGATAGCAATGGAATAGTGGTGACCTTACCAGCAATTGAATAGTGGTGACCTTATTACCAGCAATTGAATAGTGGTGACCTTATTACCAGCAATTGAATAGTGGTGACCTTGACAGCAATTGAATAGTGGTGACCTTATTACCAGCAATTGAATGGTGGTGACCTTATTACCAGCAATTGACTAGTGGTGACCTTGACAGCAATTGAATAGTGGTGACCTTATTACCAGCAATTGAATAGTGGTGACCTTGACAGCAATTGAATAGTGGTGACCTTGATAGCATTGAATAGTGATAACCTTGATAGCAATGACATAGCGGTGACCTTGATATTGGCGGTAAAGTGATAACCTTGATAGCAATGAAATAGCGGTGACCTTGATATTGGCGGTAAAGTGATAACCTTGATAGCAATGGTATAGCAATAACCCTGATAGCATTGAAATTATGGTGACATTGACAAAAATGATAGCAATCGAACAGTAGTGACCTTGATAGCAATGGTATAGCAGTGACCTTGATAGCAATGGTATAGCAGTGACCTTGATAGCAATATATAGATCTATGGGGCTGAGGAGTGGGGCAGAAAGGGGGCAATTTGGCTATATTGCTTTAAGCGACTTCTTTTCTGGAACTAAAAGATGGATATCAACCTTATTTGACTGGAAGCATCCCTAGGTGGTGGAGATTCAAAATTGTACAAATGGTTGGGCTGACCACCCAGGGGCTGAGGGCAGGGCCAAAAGGGGGCAATTTGGCTATATTGCTATAAACGACTTCTTCTATATAACTATGCCATGGATATCGATCATATTTGGTCGGAAGCATTCATGGGAGGCTGGGATTCAAAATTGTACAAATGGTGGGGCTGACCCCCCCAGGCTAAGTGGCGAGGCCAAAATAGTGTATTACTTGGAAATGGTTGAGATCCCCACCATATAACTGTATATACAATTGCTGAGTATAAAGAGAAGAATGTACATTTGCTTCCAGGATGGCTCTAGGGTCTGGCCCCACCCTTGGAGACATAGTCCCTGGGCCATAACTTTAAAACGGTTGAGATCCCCACCCCAAAACTATATATACAAATGCTAGGCATAAAGAGACGAATGCAGTCATGATATTAGAATAGATCCTGGGGTCTGACCTTAGGGACCTAGTTTCTTAGCATAGCTTGGAAACAGTTGAGATCCCCACCCTATAACCATATATTCAATTGCTGAGTAAAAAGAGATGAATGCACATATGCTTCCAGGATGGCCTTGGGGACTGCCCCACCCTTGGAGACTTAACCCCTGGGTCATAACTTTGAAACGGTTGAGATCCCCCCCCCAAAACTATATATACAAATGCTGGGCAAAAAGAGACAAATGCAGTCATGATATTAGAATTGATCCTGGGGTCTGGCCACAACCCTAGGGACCTAGTTTCTGAGTCACAGCTTGGAAACAGTTGAGATCCCCTCTGGGCCTCTTGTTTCCACACATTTTGCATATCTCACAAAGCTACTGAGTGTTTAGCCACGGTATGGCCATGTCGCTGGTACCGTGAAAATACTGGGAGATGATAATTCCAGATATTAAACTGAACTAAAATTGATAAAGATATAGCTGAAACAGATTGTATGAGATTTGTTATACTTCTGTTTTATAGGTCCTATCCCATTTCTCATTGTGAGTGAGATCTTCCGACAGGAGCCCCGTGCTGCGGCTATGAGTATATCTCTGGCTTTTAACTGGGTGTGCAACTTCACGCTGATGTTGGTGTTTAGGTTCATGCAGGTAAGTCTATCATAAATGTTGTAACGTGTTATTTATAATTTCTTTTGTGGTTTGAAGCTCTTTAGATTGTTTCATTGTACAAACCTTTTTTGGATACCCCATATAAAATACTAGTCTTATATAAATTAAATTTGGTGTATAAGTTTTTTCGATAAAAACTATAAATGGTTTTGCATCATACTTCAATTTGTCAATGGTCGTGGAAAATCTGGTGAAAAATTAGATTGAAATACATGTACTGGTAATGACGTATTGTCTTTTCACATATACCATGAAGTGTGAACTCAGTAACAAATACGCATTTTGAAGACGATACTTCAGAACAAAAAACTAAAATATGTTGTGTATGTTTTCTAGTGTTTAAAGCGTGATTTCTGGACTACTGTAGTCAATATCCATGAATTAATTTCATTCATTATATAGGGTTTGTGCAGATCATGAAAAGTTTGTCAATAAAATTGTTAATCCACTCTGTCCTAACACTGTGGTATCTATGTCATTTTTAACAGGACACCATGAAAGGATACGTTTACCTGCCTTTCATCGTCGTTCTTGTCCTTGCTATCACCTTCATCATCATCATGGTGCCAGAAACAAAGAACAAGACATTTGACGAGATATCAGTACAGATCGGTTTGGGTCGTGGTAAAAAGGGATTAGCTTATGAGCAGGACGAAGGGCAAGAGCTCAACAGCATGAAGACCTAAGGATTATAATAGGGCATTATAAGACACATCAAAAACGTTTATAAAAAAGAGTGGCTAAGTCATAGTGCTTATATATGCTATACCAATTTAGCCATATTCCATTTGATAGGGTTTGAAAATTTTTGTAAGTGTTTTTTTTTCCAAATTTTTCAAAAAAATGGAATTAAATGATATTTGAAACCAGATCAGCAAAGAAGTGCTACTGAAGATCCAATCAATATAAAAGAGAGGAAAATATGTTGACAAATTAATACTAAATCCACTAATTGGAACTTTGTTGGTCTATATTTTGGTCCAGTTAACAGGAATTTGACTAAAAAGATGTTGATCACCTGTATCTACCAATGTTTTGTTTTTTGGTTGAAATTGTTTATGTTCATCAGGCGATAAAGCTGTTTTATGACCACCTAGGGCTTGTACCTCAATTTCACTTCACTGTATTGAGGTGCCATTGTATGTGAAAATATTGTTATTGGAGAAAAATAATATCTTAACAAATATATGAAGACTTGATGCCGGAAGGATAATTGGAATTTAATAGCCTGTAATGATGGGTTTTAAGATTATTTTCATATGAAAAGTGCTATTTGCAAAAAGTAAGGAAATGGCTTATTGGTATAAAATCAGAGAATAGTTGCTCGTAGGATTTGAAATGAATCTCACTAGTGCTGCAATAGTTGTATGACAAAGTGATTTAACCCATTCACCCCTGAAGACACATTTGAACTCTTCCAATTCAAATGTTGGAAAAGTTTATTATGACATTTCAGGGATGAATAAATAAAAAAAGTCAGTTGATGTGGAGGGAAACCTTGATAATTTAATTATGTCATTAAGGATGAAAAAAATATAATTAAAAAGAAAGGAAAAATTGGTTATGTTTGTGCATAAAAATGTGTAGAACAAAATAATGTTACATGCATGTATAAGGTGTATTCAACATATTGTTAATGTAATATCACAATAGTCTTTAGATAATTGTATTACCATAATGTATTGTTGCTTTTGTCCTGTAAATTGGATATCCTGGGGAGAAATAGTTTATCAAACTCCTGTAGAAATGTGGATGCTTCGTTGTTTTACATACATAGTAGATTTACTATGCCACTATATATACATAGTAGATTTACTAGGCCACTACATACATAGTAGATTTACTAGGCCACTACATACATAGTAGATTTACTATGCCACCACAGTTAGAAATGGGGTTTTTTGTTCTTAGAAATTCTTTAAAAAGTAATTATGAAATCCTATAATGCCAACATGGAGAGGGGGGCGGATGATGTTAGTGGAGTTGGGTGAGGGTTACGGGGTGAGACTATTACAGAAATTAATAGATATGAAAGTGGAGGGGGAAGGGTGTTCACAGTTTTACAACGATCGGTGTCAAAATAAGATGTTCTCAACACATTGCAAGTACTTTGAACAATACATCCTTTAGCAGGAGTTTCTTGAAATTTTCAGAAATTCAGAAATACTTCAAATTGAAATTACCATGTCTCCAAGATGACGTCAGCAATTTGGTTTTTGAGGACATTAATTGTTTTATTGAGTATCTTAAACAGCTATTTTTTTTATATGCTCTTTAGCTTGTTATATTTTGTCAAGCCACTTATTAACAGCAATGAGTACCGGTAAGTTGATTTAAATAAGACATCAACATTTGAAGTCTCGAAGGAAATAAATTAACTCAGGATTATTTTATGTGCTATTTAATTATTAATTTCTAGTCAAAAAGTTATTTTTGATATATTTATATATTGATGTACACTTTGTTTTTAATTTTTTGGCTTTTTTAAGAAAAGGACACAAAAAAATAACATTTATTTTTCGACATATATTTTGTTGTTATTAATGATATAATTGATGTATATAATGTATATTTGCTTTAAAATCAATGTAAGTGTCAATACACAACACTGCACACATATATATATATATATATATATCTAAAATATATGGCCAGTGGTTTTAGAAAATTCTCAGAAAAATAATTATTCATTATTCCATATAACACACGGAGATTACACAAATGAATTGTTGTCGAAACATTTGTTCTTAGAAGAAATGTAGCATGTTCTGTGGGAGAACTGAGGACAAACTCCCTCTGACAGATAAGTGGCATGTTTTGTCTGAGAACGGGGAACAAACCTTCATCCAAGAGTTACCTCCTCATTTCAAAACAATATATTGCTCGAGTTTCTTACTCTTTTCCTATTATAAAAAAGAGAAATCCTCAATCATAAATTTGACAAAATGTTATTGATAGTGATGAAAGTGGTAATTATAATATTTTTAAAGTAATTAAATATTTTTAAAGTAATTAATTAATATTTAAAACTATTGATGGTTCTTGTAAACTATTTTTAAAGTATTTCTGACCGCTCGGAAATTTATTCTTTTTTTAAAGCTTATATATACAGTATTTTCATTTTAATGCTAAAATGTATTTTTCTTATTACTTGCAATTTTGTTGATCAAATTACATGGCTTTTGCTTTATAGGATCAGGCTTCCCAGTAGATAAGCTCGGTGTATTTAACAGTTATTTGTAAATAAATGCTATTTTTAGCTAACAAGGGATAGCTTTTTCTTTATAGCCATAATGTAGTTAGTAAGTCCTCCTCTTGGCAATGGCAGGCCATGTGTCTAACCTTGCCATGCAATCACATTTATGTCCTGGTTCCATGGGTTCGAATATATAGCCTTTTTAGTTTAGTTTTTTTTATTGTTTAAGAAGACAAAATATTTTACAAGATGCATAACAAAATACTACATTTATATAGCTCTGACTGGTTAGTAAACAAAGCAACAAGTACAACTGAAGGGTACATTACCTTTAGTTTTTAAATATCTTACAGCTATATATAGTGATTACATATATCTTACAGCTATATATAGTGATTACATATATCTTACAGCTATATATAGTGATTACATATATCTTACAGCTATATATAGTGATTACATATATCTTACAGCTATATATAGTGATTACATATATCTTACAGCTATATATAGTGATTACATATATCTTACAGCTATATATAGTAATTACGTTGTTGCTATAGTTAAAATCTTCTTGCTAGTAAATAGCTATATGTAGTTAATATCTATATGGGTCAAAGAAATAGTATTAACAGTAGCTTAATTATTATCTATATGGGTCAAAGAAATAGTATTAATGGTAGCTTAATTATTATCTATATGGGTCAAAGAAATATTATTAATGGTAGCTCAATTAATATCTATATGGGTCAAAGAAATAGTATTAATGGTAGCTTAATTAATATATATATATATAGTTAAAGTCTACACGTATATATCTATAGCAATACATGCTTATACAAGAATGTATTTAATATTGTTAAAATCTATATATGTATAGCTACATTATCCGCCTGAAGAAGCCCTAGAAGGCAGAAAGGCCTAGCGGACGATCTGAAAAATTTGTTTTTATTCTATGTATAGCTATATATAGATAATATCTATATATGTATAGCTATATATAGGTAATATCTATATCTGTATAGCTATATATGGGTAATATCTATATATGTATAGCTATATATAGGTAATATCTATATGTATAGCTATATATAGGTAATATCTGTATATGTATAGCTATATATATTTTATGCTATATATATGTATAGCTATATATAGGTAATATCTATATATGTATAGCTATATATAGGTAATATCTATATATAGTTTATTTAGGGTGCAACGTCCTTACAATAGCTAAGGTCATATGAGAACAGGTGTATATATAGTTAAAAGCTACATATTGTTAATTGCGATATATAGTTAATATTGTAAATATATATCTGTGTATTGCTAATATCCATATTTTTTTAATAGCTACATGTAGATTTTTTTTGATATATGATTTCAGCACATATGAAATACATATCTGGTGACAGCTAAACTGTAAAAATTAAGGTCAAATTTTCAATTTGTAAAACTAATATTTCATTTTCCATTCACGTTTTATCGCATTCTGATATGTGTAATCAATACTTTTCAATATACACCTTACTTGTTAGGTTTTTGAGCAGTTTCTTAAATATTTGTTGCAGAACGAATTGATTTTTTTATTTACGTTTTGAGCTGAGTACACATCTTATAACTTTACATAAGTGATATTGTAAATACATTTGTGTATCTTCATGACAGTTTTTCAGTAATTTTATGAACTGATAAATACAAATATTCTTACCTTAGACATTTGTCTTAAACAAAAAAGTAAACAAAATGAAAACGTATTTCATTGGTGTAGATTATATTTTGTACAAAATGTTGCAAATTAAATATAATGTAGTATCAAAACTATAGACAATAGAGGCTATATAAAATGTAGGTTGTTAGTTTTATTTAACCATGAAGATGTATATATTGCAGCGTAAAATTTTGTTCCATATGTCAAGGAAAGGTGCCAGACAAATCGAATAAGAAAGAAAAATCTAGCACAAGTTGTATCTCTGTCTTGGGTTGGAATAATATAATGTGACGGTGATATGTATTGCTACCATGAAACTGCCATTGGAGTATCCAGATCCTTCAACCAGAAGAAAATATTGAAGCAAAAAGCAGGAAATGCTGACATGATAGTGGCTCTACGGAATCCACGATATTTTGTTACATTGTGCACACAATTTTTATTTTTTTATTTTACATTTTAATTTGTTTAAAAATAAATTACCAAGCAGTTATTAATATGGTATCATTTTCACAGAGGTATGAAAAAAGTTGTGTCGGATTATATTTATCAAGTGTGAATTCACATTGATAATTTTTCTTTTACTCAGTGTTCTGTGTTCGAGGATAACATGACAGCCTAAAACAGTCCCTGGGAAGAGAGAAATAAAATCACAGTATTTCAAACAAAATCAATAAATGTCAGTAAAATTTCTTAATAGCCATTCAATGCAGACATGGTCAAATTAGTCATTTTGTATGTATTATGTATTACATATGTTGTGTATAAATGAATATTTAGAGTGAATTTCTAACATGAGGTGGAAATTAAAAAGGATGTTACTTATTTGCTTGCAATCATTTTTTCATCATGTAAGAATCCCCTTATGATAGTTGGTGTGGAGGGTGTTTTGGTATGTCATTTTACCGATAACAAGCCCATGCAGGCTAATAAGCCCATGCTTGCTAATAAGCCCATGCTGGCTAATAAGCCCATGCATGTTGCCCTGAATTGGGTGAATTTCTAAAAGAAGGCCAATATATTTTTGAATCTTTTGATGACGGCTAAGCTGACTCGGCTTATTAGAGTCTAGGTAAGATGAAGACTGGGCCTAGTGGAGGAAAGGAAGTTCACAATTTTTTAAATATTGACATTCATGTATTCTACTGCATGCAAAATAATCATTCTTTAACTAGGGCATAAAACACTGTAATGCATGAACTACTTATTTAAGAATGAGTTTTAAGATTACAATTTGTGAGATCATTTGTATGGTAGAGCTGATATTGAAAAATTGTTTTAAAATCATAACTTTTATATGCACCTGATTTTTATTCTTCATTGAACTTGAATGGAAAACCAAGTCCAGTATGACTTATTTATTGACTTCATAAGGCATTTCCTAGCATTTACTAGATGACCTGACTTACCTAGTAATTTTTAATCATGTAAATGAAGTTTACACTACCATTTCTGGGCAGTACCAGATCTAGTTGTACTTCTGTCAAGGTTCTGTTGATCAGATCAAAACAATGACAACAAGTGAATTAATACAGTAATTTGTGAACCTACATGTGGGACTGTAGTCTGATCAGTCACAATATTTGTCCAGTTTTCAGATAATCTGGAAAAGTGACTCAAACTTTTGACCATCACAGATTCATTTAGCTTTTCATGCTCAGGCATTTCTTCATTTCATGTTGTTACGTTCTTTAGTTGAAGAATTTTTCAGCTTATTTTCTTATCCTTATTTCGGACACGAGGAAAAATTTAAATCAGTGCTTGCTTCTTCAAATTCATGAAAGTTTTATATAAATTCTATTTACAGTGTTTTTGTACTTTTTGGGTATTTTTAGTGACCTGGATAAGGGTGATAATTCTTTACCATTCATTATACAAAGTTTTAAAGTTCATAAATTAGATAAAATCAATTTCTGTGAGCTGTATCACAAATTATTTGCCACGTTCACTGTTTTTGTGTATCTTATTATATATGTACTTGTGTTCCAATTGTTATTGTTTTCTTTACCATATTTGTTCTATCAACACCCCACCCCCTCTTGGATAGACGACAGTGTTATTCCACTACCTCTCCTTTCCTTTTAAAAAATTATGAAGGAAAGATTAATGTTTTCTTCACATTAAAGTGCATCAGTAATATTCATGCATATTATTATAATGCAGAGGTTTTTTTCCAAAATATCTTTTGTTTTAGCTTGTTTATTAGGGAACAAATGTTTTATTTAATGCCATTCTTTTAAAGGTGCAGCTTCCATGGGGCGTTCAATAGAATAAATATGGTATGCTGTTTACACCTGGCCAGTCATGTTGTAATCTGTATTATATACCCAAATAATACCCACACTGCGGGGGAGAGGTAGCTCTGTAAGGATACAACAATACATGTTCCTCCTTGTACAGTGTTGTACAGTGTTTGTAGTTTTATGTCTACATAATAGGTACACTGGGACCCTGCCACACTGGGCATCAACAGTGAGGAAAGGTGTCGTGATTAATAAAAATCTATTGCATACATGTACCTGCAACTGAGCTAGATTAAAAGAATCTATCACACCCTTGGGGGTGAGATAGGAGAATCTCAACCCGAGGGAGAAGATTCTTAAATCGCCAAACACGAGGTTTTGCCCAGTGTTTGGCAACTTAAGAATCTTTTCCCTAGGGTTGAGATTCCCCTATCTCACCCACAAGGGGGTGAATGATTCTTTTTCTTTTACCCTGTTCTCCCATTGTGTATCATATACACAATATAATGATAACGTTACATGCCAAATTCAGGGTTGACGTGGCGTTGATGGATTGTTGACGTGACGTCATTGTATTGTTGACGTGACGTCATTGTATTGTTGACGTGAATCCCCCCGTCTCAACCCTAGGGTGAGACAAGGAAATCTCACACTGGTAAAAGGGAGGATACACCTGTCCAGGGTAAGAGAACAGGTAATCTCAGTCGAGGGCCAAGATTCTGTACTATAATCCCAACTGAGGCATAAGATATCTCTCTCTGAGGTGCGAGAAAAATAAGGTCAATATGTATCGGCCAATTTTGTGGCTACAACATTGAAAAGTCAAATCTTGAGTGTAACATTTTGTCAGTTCTTTCTGATGACTATGTGGTCAGCGGTGTTGTAGGTAGACAATATATATTTATCTTAAGTTTATAGGAAGTTGTACAAATTCTTTTCCAAATATTTATGAAAAAAATGGCTTTTTCTAACAATCATTAGAATTATGTCATCAGGTGTTTTATAAGACAATACCAACATTTTTTTTCTGCAAAAATTAAATCAAAATTTGTTAATTCCATAACTAATATTTAATCTTTAGTTCAACCCTCAAAATTCTTAAAAATATATATTTAGATGTTTTTGTTAATGGAGTTTAAAACTTAGATTTATGATTGTAAATTTGGAGACTTGATGAAAACAATTTAAAATTGTATTTTTTGAGACTAGATGAAATCTATTGAGAAGTTTTAATGAGAAGACTTCGAAACTGGTTTTTGTACAATAGCTAAGTGTATGTTTGTGTTGAATGAGTCTAAAACATATAAAAAAAATCTACATTGTATATACATTTTATACATTTACTAAGCGTCTGGTTATTTTCATTTCTACAAAACTTTGTGATGGTTTACTCAAAATGGATCAAATATGTTGATTTTTTTTTTTTAATTAGTGAATATTACTCTTTGAGGAAGTGGGGGATAATCCTTCCAACAGCTAAGTCGATCTGGACTAACCTACAGGTCTACCGTCTGGAACACCAGTAACCCAGCATCTTTATCTTTTGTCACAGTGGTATAAATAAAGCCAAAATATAAACCAGAGACTATATAGGTCTCTGTATACACACTAAAGTTACAAATATATTCATTTATCTTTTTTTTGACAGCAAACATCAGATATTTGCCATCTACAAAAGCAATTCTGATTTATTTTGACATTTCATAAATACATTTGATTCTATGAAAAGTCAAGATTGCAACTTCTTAAAGTAGGAAATAGGGTAATCCAACATATATGAAGTAACAAGAGTTTGCCCTCCATTATATATAATGCAGTGAATATGATGTGAATGTCAGATTGTGTGCTAGATTGTAATATATCACTGTGCTATCTTTTAAGGTTTGATGCGAGATGTACTGTTCAATATCAACATTATATCTCCATGTTTTATCGGAGTAACGGTTTACTTATCAATATTATGTTGTTTTTGTACTAAGTTGTTATTGACATCATGCATAGACTTTTACAAATGTACAATGTATTTTTTTATTTGTTTTTTGTTTTCAATTATAATCACTAACTCTTGATATCTTCGTTAATTTTCACTTTTCTTTCATGGCTACAATCTATTGAGGATAGAGAAATTTTACCAGGAATTTCTCAATACTTTCACTCTTTGTTGAATACCTCTATTGAATTGGATTGGTGTCAACGGTTTTAACATGAACAGTGTTGTATATTCATACCCATATAGATGTACCACAAATGTGCTATTTATTGTTGCATGAACTTACATAACTTGTGTTAAAGGCAAGTCTCTGAGTGCTGTCTGTTGTGGGTTGTGCCTTGTGTAAAGAAATATAGTCTTTAATGAAATTAAAATACCTTACATTTTGCGTGTCCATTAATAAAACAACAGAATGAAACTTTTGTCTTTGTCGTTGGATTCTCCATAGAAAGTAAAGGCTTAGTGTATTTTGAACACAAACAGGAATTGAAAACTTATTTTGCGAGCTTTCGAAAAGCAAAACGTCTGGGTTTTTTGTCAAGCAAAGAGTGTAAATGACTAGTGTCTCAACTCTAAACCGCTGAAAACAACTCGCCAATTATTATTCATACCAAACTGATGAATTTTATTCTGAATAATTCTCCATAAATATAATTAACCATAGGTTTTGACATTCACAAGGCAATTGCCTGTCAGGGGATATGCAAGAGTACACTATAAATTGTAAGTTTGTTTTTAGTAGTCAGTTTATGGACAGACTCTTAGAAATTCCAGCTTATTATCAATGCAGTCTCTAACTCATTTTTCATGTGCCTTACAGTATTAAGTACTCCAGTCTTGGTATAAGTGATACGGAGCTGGCAAAAATGGAGATTCTTATAGAAGGCTTTATATATAGTCCCAAAACTAAAAACTATGTTTCCTAAGAAGCTGAACAGTTTTAGACGATAAATAAATAAGTGGATCTTAAGAGGCATTTTCAATTCAATGTTGATCCAAAACACTGTTAAGGACCTAGCTATCCAGTGATACAGAACTATTTAAGATCTGCCAACAAATCTGAAGGCAATAGGCCTAACATACTTTGAGTTTTTGGGGCTAATGGTAGAGTATTGTCTCGTCTGTTCATATATCCAGGTAGGTGCAGTATTCACCAATATAAGGAGTAGATCTATAGGATAGCTGTTTTATGTCCCCAATCAAAACATGTAAAATAAATAATATTATATATATGCTACTATTAGTTTTAGGGCTTTAACAATACATCAACATAATGATGTGATATGTTGATGAAAAAAGAGAAAAAATATGTTGCAAAATTTTAATGGCAATATTACAACTCCATGGAAACAGACTTGGTCCAAAATGGAAATTTCACACAATTCACGTCTTTCGACCTGCATGCAGCGAGTGGGAGCTTTCACTTGCCATGTTTGAACCTATGTAAGTGGATTTAATTCTGAAACAACAAAATCTTGAAAATATCATAGGTGTATCGTAACCTCCAAAACTTAATCTGTATTGAACTTATTCAAAATATCACGATATAATGTCACATGATATATCGTTGCAGCCCTAATTATATTCCCCAGGTACTGTTTTATTTTTATTTTATACATATCATAAGCATTGGAAAAAATAAGAAATATAATGCAATGATGTTATAGACGTGCATTTTCTCAGACAGTTGAATTAAGAAGTTTTTTTGGTAACCCCCCCCCCCACACACACACACACACTTGTAGACATGTGAATGCATACAGATATGTACAAAAAATACACATATGCATTTGATCAGACAAATCAATTTTTAAACTTTTAAACTTTTTTTCACTTACACTCATCCAAAAGTTGAAATGTCATGTTGTGTAATAATATCTTAACATATAACTTGCCTTTTAAAATGTTTTTATGAATTCTTTCTCTCAAAATTGTTTGCTACAATAATTGGGGGCCGAATTCAGTTCTTGTCCGATACACTTCTGTTCTTTGACTGAAGTAAGTGCATGAAAGTCCTTATCTGCTCTCAAGGAGCATTTAGAGTAATGGCAGGATTTTATTGAATAGAAAAAAATATAACATGATACAATACAAATATTTCTACAACAGTTGTTTATTCAATTGCGTAACCTGTTAGAATTTTCAGTGAACCATTTTTTTCCCTGTGATACAAGACAATATAACAAAAATGACACCTTTTTTTTCCTTGCTACAAGACAATATAACAAAATGACACCTAACAGCATAGAGACAGTGTTACTGGCACAAATCACCTCATTCTGGCCCCATATGGTCATTTTTTTAAATCTTCTGATACAAAATTCGGCCATTTTCAACTGTACTCCAGATGAGACTATATTCTGACACTACTCAAAAATGACAGAGGCTACAGGTGTATTTTTAAATATTACAATGTCCTTTTGAAATCCTGACTATTTCCCAGTTTGTCAGCACTGCAGATAAAAAGTCAATCACTCTATCTCAATAAATCCCAGCTTATCTTAATGGTGAGTCAAATGTATATCTATTAATCAGTGATGCTCCACTCTCCTCCACCAATACAACAGCAGTAAAAACTGATTTTAACTAACAATAAAGATGTATAGCAAAATTAACAACAAAAATGTCCTCGAAGAGCAACTTTTATCAATATTTAGAGACGTGTTTGAATGAACACATACCGACACTTAAGGCTATATCATATCTTACTGTGACATCAAAATCCCATCAGAAGAGTTCGGCAAGAAATATATAACATGTCCTTCATGAGTTACAACCTTGATTTGGCAACTTAATTCATGACATATTCAAAAGTTGTTAATATTGAACACTCAGAAGACAACTGAACACCAATCCCATTGTAAGAAGGGAGATAACTTTAAAGAAGGGAGATAACTTTAACAAATTATACAGCTTTACTGTATTGCCGTCTCATCTTTGTTCATCAATAAAACATGTGTGAATAATCTCACACAATTCACAGGTACAATGATTAATGTAACATGTAACATTTACCAACTGTCCATCCTTCTTTACAAAGTACAGACATTTTACTACATTACATCTATAACTGGACTATGTATGTATGGGCAGCGCTCTACTACAGTATTCAAGAATATAAACAATCTTGCAAAAAAAACAAGTTTGGCAGGAGGTAAAAATGCAGACTGACAAATTTGCAATGTACAAATACACAAGACTAGAATTAAACAGTATTGTTGTGTGCCAGGATTACCAGATGTTCTGTTGGAGAAACTATTTTCATCTGGGATACTTATGTCATGACTGGTGTACCAATTTTATCTCTGCCTCTGGTTTAAAATTCTGCAGCTTTTTATGTATCAAAGAGCTTTTTCAATTTCAAAATCATTTTGATAATGTAATTTGACTAATGATTTGGTACACAGATGAGGCAATGATCATACAAGTGAGGAATACCAGATTATTCTGATAAATTGTAACATTAAATTGATACAGATCATACAAGCTTCTATGACAGACCTTGAGTAAGTTAAAATGTTCATATATTCACTGTACATTCACACTAGCAATGTTGTGCACCGAGAGATTTAGCCAATCCTATCGTAGAGCACTTGTGTGGAATACCTCATTTGAAATGTAATAAGATTCCATCTATACAGAAAATATTTGATTAAGACTCTTCAATTTCCAACAAAATAAAATCCAAGAGATTTTCTTTCTCAGATTAAAATTTTAAAGAAACAGAAATCATCACAGAAAATGTATAGGTCCCTGAACATCTAGAAATAAAAGTTGCCTCATATCAGTATCAAAGTTACGAAATTCTTATCTATGTTTCAGGTTGTGATTACTGCTAAATGTCAATACAAAACAGTGTACCTCAGCTTTTGACAAATCTTTCATTATACATAAATGTCAGTGTCCATATGTTTATTCAATATTGTATACTGTAAATATGGCATCAGAACTGACCAATCCCAGCATCAGCTGACCACTGACTACTCCCCATATCAGCTGACCACTGACTACTCCTCGTATCAGCTGACCACTGACTACTCCTCGTATCAGCTGACTACTGCTATAATGTGTTATAATAAAACATATTCAACTTGTCTGAGAAAGACAACTCTATCAGATCTAAACAAAAGGCCCATACCTTTTGTTTAAAGGATCACATTCACCTAATTCTGAGCAGGATAACTCAGTTAACATATTTTTTTGAGGGATAACTCACAAATACTTTAATACAAACTTATTGTACATACCTTATAATTAAATCATCTTCCAAAATGGCAGTAAAATTCATTAGAAAAATATAGAAAAACATATTTGTGTTTCAGAAATACAAAACGCTAAATAGATATTTCACACTGAAATATAGCCTGAATACACACTTTAAAAAGAGTTAGAGAAAATTTGGAAATATGCCATATTTAGTAAAACAAAAAATGTTTGTAATTTTAAGTTCATTCATGTATATTCTATTGAAAATCAACTATGCACAAAATGAAAATAAAATACAGGAGTTTACTCTTTTTACAGTGGTAAATCCAGATTGAAAACAACTTTATTAAAAATGTGTATTAAAATTCCTATTCCAAATGTTTAGAGGTTAATGAAATAAGGTGTTTTGTATATTTGTTATCAAACTGATAAAATAATTCGTGAGTGATAAAAAAACACATTATCTAAGCTATCCTGTTCAGACAATAGCTCCTCTTGTATGCCACCATCACATGAGTAGTCACCTTTGCTTATGGCAGGTAAAATACTGTGCTATCAGTACTATTACTGAATTCTAAAATGTTTAAAAACAGAATTTGTCCAAGTTCCAAATATTTTGCTTGTAAAAGGAAAATCACTTTTCTTTTTTACTTTCATATTCATGTTCATCGACATCTTCTTCTTCATCTATATCCTCTTCTTCATCCTCATTTATTTCTTCATCTTCATCAACTTCCTTCTCATCTTCTGATATTTTCTTCTCACTTTCATCTATGTTTTCCTCTACATCTTCCTTCTGCACCAATTCAAAGCCCTGCTCTTGTGCTTCCTGTTTTTCCATGACCTCCTTTTCCTTATCCTGTTTTTTATCTTTCTTTTTCTTCTTGATATCATCTTCTTCTTCCTTCCCATTGTAAATGTCACACTTATACAAAGGTTTGAATGAATCGAAAAATCCAACGTCTTCTGTCAGATTCGGTAAAAACCAAAAATGAATTTTTCCAACAGTCACAGTCCAAATGACACAAAAAAGTAGGAATCGAACTGAAATTGAAAATAATGTAATGCAATAAGGAGATACTTTTCATTTTACAAGTCTTATTCTGATTTTAGTTATTTGTGAAAGCCTCAAAAACAAAATTGACTGGCACAATTTTTGAAACCTTCATTTGCATTTTGCGAATATAAATATACAACATGATTTATAGGAGTTAAATGTGAAGGCTAAATTAACACTGAGCAAAAACTTATTTCATTGGCAAAGGGAAAAGTTTGACTGGGTGAAAGATGCCCTGTATACAGTAATTATAAAAGTTAGATGCTGTCCAATTATTGCTGCAAGCTACATCTCAATTAGATACACAATTCTTACCTAGAACAAGGAACAAGATGAACCCGACGAAACTGGCCCCAGCTAAACTGCAGTAGTATACGCCTACTCTCAACTCATCTGGCCACAGGGGGAACACACACAGAGCTGCTGCGCCCACCACTGCAAAATCACAAAGTCACCACACTTCTTTTATTGTGATAAAATAAATACTGTTACAGGAAAAGCTTTGCCAAACCTTCCACTGGAAAATCATGTAGATATCTCAGCTCTTTTATTGTAGTAAAATGAGTCATACAGCATCGCCAAACCTACCACTGTAAAGCTGTTTGGGAGGATCATTTTCTTCTGATAAAATTTGTTTTTTTTCCCATAAGAAATCAATGAATCCGAACAGAAATGAAAATATATTCTAAATGAGAAAATTGGTCCTTGTCATTTTGAATATGTACAAGAACTAGAGTTGATATTAGAAGTTTGCTAGTACACAAAGAACTGCCAATGACAGATTAAAGATAAACAGACTGTATTACCACAATTTTGTCTAACAAAACACTGTACACCAATAAATAGGAAGAGTTCTTCTCCCAATACATTGTACATGTATGGATAACAACACGGCTTCATCAAGATTTCTTGGTGCTAACAGGGTCAGAGTTTCCTTATATCGATCATAAAGTCAAGGAAAGGAGATTTACCAGAGGTGGAACTTTAATTAACCCTTTCACCACTGTAGACCACAATAGACTCATTCAGATCAATACATGGTAAAGTTTACTTAAGTTACATAGGGGTGAAGGGGTAATACTGGTGATTAGATCTTATAAGTGATGTGTTGTTCATATAATACTTCAGTTTATAAACTTTGATAGCATCATCTTACCCATTAACAGGCCTATAACAAAAGTCTTTGCTGGAACAGGGTCGTAGATCCACACGTATACCTGTAAATAAATGTTAAAAACATAACTGAGAAGTTCCTTTATTGAACTGAACTATTTCAGCTAGACATTAAAATCGTTACAAAACGATCTCCCATGTTTCAGTTCTGGATGCATGTTTCAAAAGATACCATTTTACAATTTTTGCTCACAACAAAACTCCTTCACAATGTATGGAAAAAAAAATGAAAAAAAATACCTCTGTGAAGTTGGAAATATCATAATAGTAAACAATGGTTACTTCACAAGTGACTTACAAGGTAGTAAAATAAAACAAGAGACATGCATTATGAAATACTTACATCACTTCCATCGAGAAAGATCTGATCATCGTGCATGTCAACTTTCAGTTTTCGTTCTTTCTTCTTCTTTTCATCATCCTTTTTCTTTTCTTCATCCTAAATAGGTTTTCATTTAAAAGAAAAGAAAAACTTATCCGTCTTGAGTGTACTTAAAAGTATTTATGGGTATAACTTCAACCAACCTCCAGTATACCAATGTATCTATGGGTCAGTATGCCAATGTATCTATGGGTCAGTATACCAATGTATCGATGGGGCAGTATACCAATGTATCTATGGGTCAGTAGCCCAATGTATATATGGGTCAGTATTCCAATGTATTGATGGGTCACTATACCAATGTATTTATGGGTCAGTATACCAATGTATTGATGGGTCAGTATGCCAATGTATCTATGGGTCAGCATACCAATGTATCTATGGGTCAGTATTCCAATGTATCTATGGGTCAGTATACCAATGTATTGATGGGTCAGTATGCCAATGTATCTATGGGTCAGTATACAAATGTATATATGGGTCAGTATACCAATGTATCTATGAGTCAGTATACCAATGTATTGATGGGTCAGTATGCCAATGTATCTATGGGTCAGTATACCAATGTATCTCTGGGTCAGTATACCAATGTATCTATGGGTCAATATACCAATGTATCTATGGGTCAGTATACCAATGTATCTCTGGGTCAGTATACCAATGTATCTATGGGTCGGTATACCAAAATATCTATGGGTCAGTATACCAATGTATCTCTGGGTCAGTATACCAATGTATCTATGGGTCAATATACCAATGTATCTATGGGTCAGTATACCACTGTATTGATGGGTCACTATACCAATGTATTTATGGGTCAGTATACCAATGTATTGATGGGTCAGTATACAAATGTATTGATGGGTCAGTATACCAATGTATTGATGGGTCACTATACTAATGTATCTATGGGTCAGTATACCAATGTATCGATGGGTCAGTATACCAATGTATCTATGGGTCAGTATACCAAAATATCTATGGGTCAGTATACCAATGTATTGATGGGTCAGTATACTGACCCATCAATACATTGGTATACTGACTCATAGATACATTGGTATACTGATCCATCAATACATTGGTATACTGACTCATAGATACATTGGTATACTGATCCATCAATACATTGGTATACTGACCCATATATACATTGGGATACTGACCCATCAATACATTGGTATGCTGATCCATATATACCTTGGTATTCTGACCCATAGATACATTGGTATAGTGACCCATCAATACATTGGTATACTGACTCATAGATACATTGGTATACTGGCCCATCAATACATTGGTATACTGACTCATAGATACATTGGTATACTGTCCCATCAATACATTGGTATACTGACTCATAGATACATTGGTATACTGCCCCATCGATACATTGGTATACTGACCCATAAATTCATTGGTATACTGTCCCATAGATACATTGGTATACTGATCCATCAATACATTGGTATACTGACCCATCTATACATTGGTATACTGACCCATCTATACATTGGTATACTGACCCAAAGATACATTGGTATACTGACCCATAAATTCATTGGTATACTGTCCCATAGATACATTGGCATACCTACCCATAGATACATTGGTATACTGTCCCATCAATACATTGGTATACTGACCCAAAGATACATTGGTATACTGACCCAAAGATACATTGGTATACTGACCCAAAGATACATTGGTATACTGACCCAAAGATACCTTGGTATACTGACCCATAGATCCATTGGCATACTGTCCCATAGATACATTGGTATACCAATGTATCTATGGGGCAGTATACCAATGTTTCTATGGGTGAGGATACAAATGTATTGATGGGTCAGTATCCCAATGTATTGATGGGTCAGTCTACCAATGTATCTATGGGTCAGGATACCAGTGTATCTATGGGTCAGTATACCAGTGTATCTGTGGGTCAGTATACCAATGTATCTACGGCTCAGTATACCAAAATATCTATGGGTCAGTATCCCAATGTATATATGGGTCAGTATACAAATGTATTGATGGGTCAGTATGCCAATGTATCGCTGGGTCAGTATACAAATGTATTGATGGGTCAGCATACCAATGTATTATTGGGTCAGTATACCACTGTATTGCTGGGTCAGTATACCAATGTATCGATGGGTCAGTATAGCAATGTATCTATGGGTCAGTATACCAATGTATATATGGGTCTGGCTCATGTTTGACCAGTGTCTGTAAAATGTGACTGGAACAGAAGTGGTGGTTAATTGGAGCTTGTTAAAACAGGTAGGTTGTCACGTTTTTTATTTACCACATTGTATCATGATTTTGATGTTATATAATATTGTTATTTACCATCACGATTCTGATGTACAGTGTAACAACACAATATGTATCATCCCGAACTTGATCTAATGAAATATATTTTCCATTGTACATTTTTTTATTTTCAATTTTCAAAAAAAAAATCCAATGATCATAATGATGTTATGCAATATTTTCCATTGTAATTTTCATGTTTTACAATAATTCTCATTATTATATTGCTGTTATACAATATTTACCATCACAACTCTGACATGATACAAAATTTACAATCACTTGTCTTTACATTATCATACAATATTAACTGTCACAATTTCCTGATGTTTAATGATTCTCACATTAAATTTGACATTGGAGTGAGCAATTCTGAGAAACACATTTAATATCTTCAACAAATGTCATCATGTAGTTATTAATATGTTATTGCCTGGGAGTTATACGCCTTAACAAACATGCCAGACATTCCCTTTCATTGTGGACGACATGTCAGTATAACCCTTTGGAATTTTCGAAATCTTTAATCAGAAAAATATCAACTTCAAAGCTGTGCAAACAATGCTTGACAAAGGTTATAGTTTTAAAATATCTTCCTGGCTTCCATGACCTCAGTTTTGTAAAAGATATCTTTAAAGATGACAATTTCTACTAAAACCACGATTACCTAGCTAACTACCAGCACTTTGCTGTAGTTTTTCTACTAACCATCCCCTCCTCATCTTCAACTAGATATAAACGCAATTCTCACCTTATATACATAGTTAACTATGAAATTAAACAAAATATGTATCAACCCAGTGAGGATTGAGATTTCCTGGCCTGTACCGTATTACATAAAGCTAGTATTTTTCTCATACACTTAAAATTTGCTACTGGTATTATCGTAATATTCCTTGTTCAAGAAATATGTCATATCATACTAGTGCTGCCATTATCACACATACCATATGCCAAAAGTATTAACGTTCCAATTGTTGATAACACAATTCTATTGCAGCATGGTAGCATTTTCAGATTATAATTATGTGTGAGCTACTTTTCAAACACAAGAATAAACCCATGGAGTGTGGGAGGAATGGGGTCCAACTCGACACATCTAGCCTTATGAACAACATTTCTTCTACCTCAGTCATGGTACTTAAGTACATTAACATCACATGTCACACGACCAACTCATACCTTCTTGTCTTCTTGTTTGCTTTTGTCCTCACTTTTGTCTTCCTCCTTTTCATCTGTTTCTTTCTCTTCTATTGCCTTGTCTTTCTTACTCTTTTTTTTTGTGGTCTTTTTATCCTTGAATATTATAATAACATATGTGTATGTTATACTTACATATATTCAATTTGGTTCTTTAATACAAATTCTGTATCACTAAGGAACATTCCAATAATGTTTTGTACGTCATTTTTAAAATGAATTACATATCATCTCATTCTAATTCCGTTTCTTATTACCAGTCAACATGACTAGTTTTTTAGGGTGTTTCTAAACATGCTTATTCATCACACATGGGTAGATCAGTGACATCGTCATCCACAGCAGATGTTACCGGGGTACAAGTTGGATTTTGACTTCTGTACACATGCTCAAATTATCTCAAATCAAAACCTTCCTAGTTTTATGCACACTTTGTAGGTCATGGTTTGGTGGTTGGATAATGACTCTTGCAAATCTTTTCACACTAGCCAAGACATTTGACTTAAAACCGCTTTATTGTACATATCAGTGAGACCTTTTTTTTAAAAATATATTATGTTTTCTATTATTTTTTCTCAAATTGGAAACTGCCTATGTCCTGGCATTGGGGCAAACTTTGGCCCAAATAAGGGCAGAAAAAAACACTGCACATTTTTTTCAATCCTATACATGTATGTATAACAGAGGTCACCATTTTTCTCAATTCTTTCCCGAAGATTAAACCAAGTAGCCCTGGTTCATTAAAGTCTTATACCCTACCGACTGAGCTAAAGAAGCTTCCCAGCCCAGCTGATGGTAGGACTTAAGCAGCTAGTAATTCACCAGGATGACATATTCCTCCAGGAAATAACCCATCTCAAGGTTTTTTATGGGTGTCAGTGTTGCTTGCGAGAGGCTGGGTATTTTTTGTCAAAATTTCCGAAAGACCATATGTGAGTGCCAATGTAACAGAGCTAGGTTATCATTTTTACAATGTCTCTGCTAACAGATAGGACCCAGAACCTCTGGTTTACTATTAAGGTGTTCTTTCAATTGAGCAGAAGAAAAATTCTCCCCAGCAGAGTTGGTAGGAAGTGGCTAGTATTTCACCAAGGTTACGTGTGGTCATAGATATGTATACAAAGACATTTGCAGTAATTTGAAAAAAATCAGAATTTAATGAGTATTATAATGTCATCTTGTCTGTGCTCAATCACCGGTTACATAATCTAATGTATTTGAGATTTTTATTTATCTACCTTTTCTTCCTCATTTTCCACCTCTTCTGCCTTCTTCTTTTTCTTCTTTTTGTCAAGGACTTTGTCTTTCCGTCTCTCTAACTTTAATGCCCGGTGAAACAGTCCCTTCTGTAGTAACCTGAAAACAATCGTAACAATGTGTTTACTACTGACACATTTATTTCAAGGAATTTTCTCCTGGTCATCAATCTCCATAGCAAATTGTCCTACAGCAAACTCATTTCTTACATCTCTCAGCGTGTGTTAAACTATGTATCAAAGCAGTTGAATATGTTCTTTTGTCAAACAAATTACAATTTTCCTAATTTCATGGTGTTTTTTTCAATCTAATGCCTAATGTTTGCTTGGTATTTAGCAAAGATAAATATTCAGGTATTCAGTGAATTTCCTCTCATTTGTTTCAATAATTTCAAGTTCATTTCAAGGGGGAAAATAAAAATTAAAACACTTTTCCAAATATTTTTAAATGGGCTGGAGGGAATGGGACTTCAGTACAAACAAATAACACTAATATTTTCAAAGATAAATACATGTATCACAATTTAATTTTCACTTACCTCTCACAGAACTTCTCACAAGATTTTCTGTCGGACAACAAAATATCACTCTTACTTGGCTTGGCCCATTTCGATTTCAGCAGCAAATCAATTGCATCTGATGCTGAAATAAATCAATTTCAACATCAAAATTTTGCTCTCCTCTTATCTTTTTTAGATGTGCTTCACTACAAGTATTTTTAAATGTTATGCTGTTACATAAATACCGGTAACATGAATTTGGAAAATTATCTGTCAAAAGCAATAATGTACTAGATCCCTACCGTCCAGTTACCGGATCTATCAGTTAAATTTGATAGTTACCTTATCAAAGAAAATTGTTATAAAAACATATCCATAAATGTTTTGTTGTATTATGAAGAGGATTGCTATTATAAGTTGCAATAACTGGTTGTCCAATCCTTTTGAATCATTGGATCAATGCAATATGTTGAACTCATTCACCCCTGAAGACACATTTGAACTCTTCCAATTTAAATGTTGGAATAGTTTATAATGAATTTTCAGGGGTGAATGAGTCTAATTCAAATGTTGGAATAGTTTATTATGAAATTTCAGGGGTGAATGAGTCCAATTCAAATGTTGGAATAGTTCATTATGAAATTTAAAATGAAACTAAACACAGCATTAGACAACAGATCTAGATGCTAAACAGGAAGCACCATATAAGACAATAATCAAATGTTTGTGCCTTGCTTGCTTGATACTGGTATATGTATGCACATGCACAGCAGTATGATTACAAACTGCAAGTTTAATAGATGTATTACACAAATTTACACAACATAACAACTGGACAGCTGGTACTAGCCTCATCTGTCAATACACCTACTGACAGCTGGCTGACAGTAACCCTACAAATTTGGGTGATCTGTCTCTAGTGGTTCTCATGTAGTCTGTACATGTGTAGTGCCTTTAGGCTAAGCTTCTGCTATAAATCAGGTATAACATACTATACAGTACAGTCTTATCTCTGCTAATGTTGTACACTTGGGCTATTGGCTAACGAGTATGGACAAAGTGACAGCAAAACCTGACAAATCAGTGTTTTTTTGCCCAGGGACAGACCTAGCTACAGTTATTCAGTAAAACAAAAAAGCATTATTTATATTCTGTGAAGTTTCACACATGTATTTACATTTGGTACAGTTTATAGGTACATTATATATTTACACTGTACGTCATGTATGTATATATATACTGACGTTATACATGTGTACATAGTGTTATACATATACCAGTTACCATATCTTAAGCTCTTATCAAATACCATTTTAAAGATTAAGAGTTTACTGCTTCAAATATATACATATATATATCTAGAGAAAGAGATTATTTACAATAAGAAATAATTAACAATATCCAGTACATGCATTATCCTCTTCAAATCTGGCAGGATTAAATAGGATATTAGTAGACACAGGCTGTACGTGTGTCATTATATCTAAAGAGATAAACAAACAATTCTTACTCCATATGTATAAATAGCTTTGTGATAATTTACCTCTGACAAGTTCTTTCTCAAAAACCCTTTACTGGTTGTGATGAAATACCATGATGACAGAGACATCAACTATTATTCAAATTCCAGTTAAGTAATGTTTTCGTAGATTTAAATCACAATGTTGTTTGAGAAATGATTATGGCCTCCTAAGATTTCCCCTGTGCAGCAAACTCTGGTATTCATTTCACCATATTTGAAGTGTAACCAATTCGTAAACTTGGATACAGTTATTATATCTTTGTCAAGTTGTTTAAGCAAAATTAGATGGCTTAGTCTCTCACTGTTGCTATAATTCTTAAATTCTTGGGTCGAGCAGCTTTGCATGACTACTATGGATTGGAAATGTCCTATCCTTTTGGTGTCGTAATACTGCAGGTCTCCAAACACTTGCTGTGTACGTAAGTGAGGCAAGACCAGCACTTTAGAAAGACTAGTGAACATATTCATTCCAAATAAAAGCAAAACCACTATCTAAGCAGGTTATGATGTTGTGATGTCTACAGTGCTGTCTCGTTATTGATTGCCTGTTTGATGCATTGTTGATCTCAAGTTATCGTCTGCTACAACACCCAAGTCTTTCTCTGATATAATAATAATAAGCTTAATTTCCTTATATAAACTAGTTTTAAAACAATTATGAAACAAATTATTACAACTTATAAATTGACCACTCTATTTGTCCCGGATTTTAGTGTGCTTGGGGTCTAATATGGGTGGAAATCGGAGAACCTGAAGAAAACCATGTGATCGGGCAGGTGAACCCATACCTTTCCATATCGATCGGGAAAGCGAACCCCTGCCGCCGCCTTGGTGGAAGGTGAGCGGGATATCCAATGCGACACACAACCACCCTCAATTTCCTCCCTTTTTCCATTAAACAATACATATATCATGGTTCTATCACCCTGAGTTTTGTAGAGACAGTAATAACTTTATACTTTTTAGGACGAAATATTAAATTTGAAGAGAGTATCTTAGATTATGAATTATTGTATATGTATTGAGTACTTTGAACACAGATCCAGATGCAGCATTTATACAAGTAAGAAATATAGATCATGTGAAGAATGAAGGAATTTTTTGTAAATTATCGAAAATAATGGTTTGAACGAAATTCTTACCAACAAATGTCTTGACAACGGTTCCCATAGGGATAAACTTGGCATCCCGACTTTGACAGTTGAAACGCAAATGCTTTGCTATGGAATATTCTTCTTTACTACAAGGTTTTTCATTTTCCTGTCAAAGAAAAAAAAATGAAGTTTAGATATAATTCTATAATCAAACAGTTCATCAGTGGCAACTTCAAACCTTTTCAATCCAATCCCAAGTTTTTACAACATGAGGCAGCACAACAAAGTAAAAAGAGAATGTTACAATATTTAAAGTAACTTCAACTAGCGATCATTAGACAGATGGCTGTCTGACGAAGAGAACTACATGTAGGTGTATTTGGAAAAATGTCTTAAGACTGGTGCTCTCCTGGCAACATATTTGTATAGAAGCCTCTAGCCCTGCCACTTATAACTTATCAACAGACCGTACTGATCCGGACCGAAAACGAAAATTATTATCTTGTTCAGAAGATTTCAGTTTTTGTTGATTAGTCACTCCCATGACCTACAAATGGCTTCGCTCAGGTGAGGAATTTTGAACGATTGACACAGAGGACTCTTTTGACAGAATATAGCAGCTGTTGGTGATAATAAGGGCGGATATGGATCAATAAATAAACCATTTATGGATATATGTCAGGTATGTGTTTTGTCATAGTAGATTTTTGTTGTCAGCACGTCAAAACTCTCCGATACCAAACGGTGAAGGAGAATCCCATGTTTTCATATGTGTGATATAATATGCTCTACTGTATAATTTTAGCATATCTAATTTGAATTGTTGTCCTGTTTTTATATTTATTCATTAGTAAGTTGTGATCCTTGTTAAATTTTATATATGTTTTGTCGCAAGAATAGCACTACAGTGCTAATGTTATTATGTTACATGTAGATGTGACGTTAAATAAAGCTTCTTGAATCTTGAATATAGCAATGTGCTCTGGCCCCACAACAGACATCTATCTGTCAATATGTCTTAGTCTGGTATCAGGTCCAAAGGAAACCAATTTAGAAAGGAATAATAGGCATAATTAGATAATCAACGCATATCTAATATAACCTTCCGTTATTATGTCTAATGGTAAACAGTCATAACAGATATACTACAACACATCATTAATTCATTATCACACAAATCGTAATAGCATACGAATAACTGGATATCATAAGTAACTTAATTAATTTACACCCGACCTCCGATGCAAGCTAGAAACGGCTTATTTTCAATGTGGTCCTCTCTATAAATAATAATATATCTATACAATTTACTTTGACATAAAAAAAAAATGAAAATGAAAAAGGTAATCGAACACTAAAGCAAAAGTGATCATTCATTTAGTGATGTCATCAGTCTCAGACAGAAAAAAAACTTCGAGTTGACAATTTTGCAACACATTTACCACATTAGTGTGAAATTCATGTAAAGGTTTTGAACGAACTTAGAATATGTATATTACTGTCGATGTAATAATCTATTTTCACATATCACTTTTATTATTTACACTTAAAAAATCGGAGAAATTTAGATATACCTTTTCTGTTCGCTTTCGTGTACGACGTTTGTCCGCCATGTTTACGTGGATAACGTGCGAACGTTTGAACACGAAGGAGTCTTAGTGATACCACAAAGCTCTTTTCCGATAGCGATTTCCACGTAATTGGGGCCCAATGTGGGGTAGTTATAGACACTACGAAGAGTTCGACACTTAGCAGGGGCAGATATTATTTTTTTTCCCGGCTGACATATTGATTATGATGCCAAACAATGTACCAAAACACATATGTGACACCGCTTAGCAAAGACAGATATGTGTATTATTTCGCTATATTGTATATTATGCCAAACAATTAAGGCAACAATTTATGTCCAAAACTCAAATGTGACACAAAATCTCTTTTATTGTAGCAGTGTACAGTAGAAATGGCTTGACCCTTAATATAAAGGACATGTCTCACATAATCATGGATAGTGATTCCAACCTGTACAACACACCTACATATTTATACATATTTATAAACTACATTTTGATTTCATTTTGTTTAGAAGACTGATTTTTTTTCAAAAACTGTTTTCCCCAGATTTGGGACTTGTGAAAATGGTTCCCACATCAATAAAACACCAAAATATGCAAAAAAGTATAATTGTTTTTCTTAAAACGTGTCTGAAAATAAATATCGCTTACTCGGTAGCATAGGTCATTCCGGTGGATTTTTCACAAAATAGACTACATGAAAAGCTAACTTTTGTTGTGTAGACACAGATTTGTAAGGTTATGTAGCCCACATAGTCCACTTCATCATGTATATGCCAGTTTTAGTGCTGATTTTTTTTTAAATTTTGATTACAAATTGAACACATGATTCAGACTCTTAATCATAATTAAAATGCAGCCCTCTTCAATTTTACAGTTGCAAAAGAAGAAGGAGCTTATTTACTTATCAACAATTAAATTAAATTTATTTATAACAGATTTATTTGAAATGATTGATTTTGAATTCAATAGATTTGACTACAAAACTGCACGAGAAGATTCAATTTTAGATGTGGTTATTTTCCCTTGACCATATTAAGGAAATTATAAAATATTGAAATAATTTGAGTTTCGTTTTTATTATGTATGGTTTTAGAAATACATACCTTTTAATGACGCTCTAACGTTACATTATAATATCCCCACCTTTTGTTTATTTGTTGACTTGAGCCACGGAATTAGATTATCTAAGTCCGTGCTGAGCTCACTAGAATTTTTATTTGAATCATATTGTTTTGGTTGAAATTCAAATATGATAAAATAGATGAATGGAAAAATTGAGGCTATAAAAAATTACCCGAGCCAAGACGGATCAATCTAGTAGTAATCCTTCTCTTCTTAGTCTATTAAGAGAAAAATTAATCAGTTTGGAAAAATGTTATATAAAATTTAACTTTATACACAAAAACGTATAATGTTTGTGCATATAAAGTAAAATTTGATACATATCATGAAATTTGAACATATTAATTTTGGGTGCATATTTCTGAATGATTGTGACTCTTACATATTTACTACGATTATGTATAGCGTACAGCAATATAAGTATACTGTTATATAAAGCCATCCGATCATGACACCCTCGCGGGATCTATAACTGGATATGATTTGTACCTGTTGAACTCAGTTGACCGTGACATTAGACGGATTAATGCG